ATGTGCGAAATGTAGTCCACGGCGACACCGACAGCGAACTGCTGTTGGTATTCGTCTCCATTCTGGAGTACCCCATTTCGATCGTCTCGGTGTGACACTGACACAGTTCTCTTCCAAAACAATTCAGAACACGTCTGAGCAATGCGAGCAGTGCAAAAGCATTGGCTGGCATTGCTTGGAAGTGCTTTGCGTTGCATGGCTTGGCTTAGTCTGCTTGAAATCACTGCTTAGCTCTGTTTGGCATTGCTGGGCGTTGCTTGGCAATGTCCTGCGTTGCCTTACATGTCGTGGCACTGCCTGAGATTCTTCGGCCTTGCTCGGCAGCGCGTGGCATTGCTTGGCGCTGCAACGACGGGAGGGGGCCAAAGTACAAGACTGGGGAACCCAAGAAACAAAACCACGGAACCCGAACAAGACAAATAACAAGACTTCGAAACCGAAAAAACACGGGAAGATCAAAGGAACACAACTAGGTACCCCGAGCAACGCCTAAGAGAAACCAATATCATGGCACCTAGCAACGCCGGGAGGCACCTGTGAGTTGGCACCCGCACCCACTGGCCCAACTGGGACGGCGACCCCCGAGGAGAGAGAGAGAGAGAGACGGCCCGCAGAGGCGTCCAGGAGCGCTCCTGCACCTCTGGCCTTGCGCCGGGCTGCGGACAAAAATGCTGCGTCATCGTCGGGCGTCGGCCCAGCGTTGGTGCCGTCCGCCTCGCGTTCTCGCCGCCGGCACCTTTATGCCACGGCGCCCGATCGATCGCTCTCGCTCTCGCTCTCGCTCTCTCTCTCTCTCTCTCGCTCTCTCTGGGGAAACCAAGAGGTACCGATACCGCTACTCCCCGGACCTCTCCTGGGGAGCGCTCTGACCAGGATTTCGACGCGAATCCAGCGGTGGCGGCGAGGGCCTCCCAGGAGGCCGAAAAAGGGGAAACGAGCGAGGGGTAGAGGTATCGGCATAGGTATCTCTTCCTCCTCCGACACTCACTCCGCTGGCCCCTGAGGAGGGGGAGGGCGCGGATGAGGAGCGACAGGAGCTTGTGCCTGCTTCACGCTGCTGGGTGGGGGGGTGGGGAATCTGGGCGGCTCTGCCGCACTCACGGAGCCGACCCTCCAGGACCTCTCCCAGGGGCGCGCCCTGACCAGGCTGTCTCCATGGGGAGCCAGCCGTGGCGAGACAAGTGCTGGACGCCCGCCCCCCCCCCACCCACACGAAGAAAACAGCGGCCGTGCAGGACGACCCAGGCACCCCTCGGCGAGGCGCAGCTGCTGGAAGGCACTCTGAGCGCGAGGACGCCTCCAAGAACCAGCGGAAACTTTGGAGAAGCCTTCTGACAGCCTCAACTCCCGAGAGAGGTCCGGGGCTGCCATCGCCGCGCTCGCCCGAACTTTCGGGGGGAGCTGGCAGGCTGTAGCGACGAGAAGCCTCCTGGAGGCATCACGTCACGAGCACCTCGGTGCTCGGACCTCGACCGCCCAACCATCGAACCCGCGGTGGTCGGGCACGAACTCGCTTGGGCCAACGCACGCCCTGGTCAGCGCCCGAGGCCGTGTCGCGACGCCCGGCCAGCCGCCTGGTAGCTCACGAGCCCGGGCCGGCGGAGGGTGGGAGGGGGAAGTGTCGGCCCTGCCCTGCGTGGTTCCCACGCCCGCGTCAGCCAGGGGGGATCGGCGGAACCCCGTGGGCGCTGGGCCCGAGAAGTGGTTCATGTCCCAACAGGACGGCGCAGAGCCCAACAGGACGGTTCATATCCAAACGGATCTGAGCACGGGAACGGCTCAGGTCCCAACGAAGCTCGCTTAAGATTGTAAGCGTCTGGAGCGCTTCGTAGGCGCTTCCTAGAAGGCGCCTCCACGGCTTTGTGCAGGATTGCCTCTGGGTTCCTCCTCGGCTTCCTGAAAGACTCCTGGGGGCTCCTGAAGATTTTTTGATGGATTCCTGAGGGATTCGTGCAGGATCCTCTGGGTTCCGGAGAATTCCTGAAGGATTCCTTGGGATTCCTAAAAGGACTCCTGAAGATTCCCGAAGTATTCCTGTAGATTCCGAGGTTTCTGGAGGATTCCTGAAGGATTTGCGCCGAATTCCTGAAAAGGATTCCTGGAGGATTCCTGGAAGATTGCTGAAGGATTCCTGAAGGATTCCTCCGGGGACCCTGAAGGATTCCTCCGAATCCCTACGGACTCCAGAAGGGACTCCTGAAAGATTCCTGAAGTTTCCTGGGGATTCCCGGGGATTCTGGCAGGATCCCAAGTCAATCCCGAACGATTTCTGAAGGAGTCCTCAAGGGTTCCTGGAGGGTTCCTGAGGATTCCTGAGGATTCCAAAAGGATGTTCGAAGGATTCCTGAAGGATTCGGCTTGTAATTGCTATAAACACGCAGTGTATACGTTATATTTATCTGGCGTGGATATGTTTTGCACATGCTTCGTATACGTTACATCTAATGTTCGTCCACCCGCTTACTTTGTATTTCAGTGTCGTGCACGTCTTGCGCATATATTATGTACGTTACGTGTTGCGTGTGGTAGCTATACACTGCGTGCTCGTGATCGATCGTTCCGCATACGTTGCGTATGCATTTTTATAACACGTGTTGTCGGCGTGCTGTACATTGGGCGTGCGATTCGCATGCGTGTCGTGCACATGCTGGCTAAGTTTTGTACGCGCTCTGGTTACGGATTTGATCCATGGTGTGTTTGTGATACGGTATCGCTACGGTGAAGTTGCTGTGTGCATACTTACCCGTTACGAAAGTTATTCATCTTGAGCACTGACGACTAGGGCGTCTCCGAGTGGCCGCCCCTCCCCCCCGTAGACTCCTAGCACGGCAGTCTTCGGCCTGGCTCGGCGGGAGAGAGCACGGCAGTCTTCGGCCTGGCTCGGCGGGAGAGATTTCCGGGGTCCCCCCTGGTAACATTAATAGTATATAACCAATTCGTGATAAAATCTCTCCCCCGTAAATTCACAAGGGAGAAATCACTCCCGGTCACTTCCAGGCAACTCTGAATCTCTCCCCGTATGAAACCACAAGAAAGAATCACTCCCATACCACTTCTCAACACAGCGCCCACACATGTCAACTTCAGCCAAGATGAATTAACTCTCGTAACGGGGATGAGGACCCGCGACTTTTTCACACGTCAACGTCAGCCAATGTCATGAGGAACCCAAATTCGAAATCCGAATGGGGCCCAGCATCGCGCTCGACAGACACGTCGCCATCTGCGTGCTTGCGGTCTCGCATGACAACAAGGGTCTGCGGGGCACGCGCAAGCGCGTTGTGGTGGCCAAAGGTGCCGTTGTCAAGGGGTAGCGCTGGTCTCACCCTTGTAGAAGTGCCATGTAAGATACCGCTTACCCGTTACGAAAGTTATTCATCTTGAGCACTGACGACTAGGGCGTCTCCGAGTGGCCGCCCCTCCCCCCCGTAGACTCCTAGCACGGCAGTCTTCGGCCTGGCTCGGCGGGAGAGATTTCCGGGGTTCTCCCTGGTAACATTAATAGTATATAACCAATTCATGATAAAATCTCTCCCCCGTAAATTCACAAGGGAGAAATCACTCCCGGTCACTTCCAGGCAACTCTGAATCTCTCCCCGTATGAAACCACAAGAAAGAATCACTCCCATACCACTTCTCAACACAGCGCCCACACATGTCAACTTCAGCCAAGATGAATTAACTTTCGTAACGGGGATGTATGTGTTGTAAGCACGATGTTCGTATTCCAGATACGCTCCGCGTGCGGTTCGCGCGGGTCTTGTGTACAATGTAGATAAGTTGTGTGTGTGTGTCTGTCATGCTCGTTGCGTATACATGTCTTATACCTGTCGTACACGTGTCGCATATGTTTCTCACACATTCGCCGACGTTCCGTATACGCGCTGTACAAGTGTCGTATCGTATACGTTGCGCTTCATAGGTGCGCTTCATGTACGTTTCGGATACGGTTTATTTACAAGTTATATGCGTGCTCTGTTCACTGCATGTGCGTTTCATACACGTTTCGGATAATCCGCACTTGCGCTACATGTACGTGTCGCATGCATTACAAACACGCTCCATGCACGTGCCATATACTTGCCATATACGTGTCGCACACGTTTCGCCTACGTTGCAAGTGCTTTCTTTGTACGCTTTAAAGACCTGCCGTACACATGTCGCTGCATGTCCTTATAAGCTGCGCACACGGATATTATACGTTTCGTTTACGTTTCCTTGTGAGTATCATGACCATCTCGTAAACGTGTCGTATATGTTCGTGCTCGCTGCAGTCGTGGAGCGCCTTGAGCTTATATTTGGCCGTCCTGGGGTACTGAAAGTTTGCAGATCAGAGGGCAGTGGAATGGTGTAGACCCCAACCGCGCACTATGAAAATCGCGTGTGTTCCTCTAGAGGATACACTTCGATGTCATTGCCAAGATGATCATGCAACAACAGCATTAAACAGAGCTTTCCCCTGGCATTGGGATCTGAACCGCTCCCGTTTCCTTACCCGTTGGGATCTGCACCGTCCTGTCGGGATCTGAACCGTCCCGTTGGGATTTGACCCCGTCGCCCGCGGACCTCCGTCACGTGAGCCCCGACGTGGGGGGCAGGACCGCCAGCCAGGGGTCGCCGAAGGTCGAAGCACGGCGACTCGAGACACTGGAAACTCCAGATGGGCTGAAAATCGGCCCCCAGACCGTCTCAGACCCCTCCCAGGGTCTACACGCGCTCGTTTTCCGAGCTGCGTCCAACCTTGGCGACGAGGGCCCCCGCCGAAGGCCAACTACTGGTGTCTCAGGGGCGTCCAAGAGGGGGGGACGCAGATCATGGCAGGGCGGCATGTGCGCGGCCCAGGGTGGGGCCCGGGACGTGTTGAGATAAGAGAAGGCGTCATGAAATCTGGGGAGATGTCATGGCCCCCACCGTGAAATCCCCCCCCCTGTTGGCCGCCCTCGAGTGTCTCAAAGGGGCCCTCCGCTGAGAAAGCCCTCGAGGCGGGCCGCCGAAGGGGCCCTCCCAGGGAAGGGCCGCCTGCTCTGGCGGCGGCGATGGTGGCCGCCGCTCTGCACTGGCGCCGGGCGCCGGGCCTGGCCAGGGGGGGGACACGGCGCTGCTGGTTCGTGGTCGTCAGACTCGTCGCCGTCGTCGTCGCCGTCGTCGCCGCCGCCGCGGCCGTCGTCGTCGTCGTCGCCGCCGCCGCCGCAGCCTCCGCCGCCGCCGTCGCCGTCGTCGTCGTCGTCGTCGTTGTCGTCGCCGCCGTCGTCGCAGCCGCCGCGGATGGAGGATCGCTGGCGCACTGGGGCCCCAAAACGGCGCAGTGACAGGCCGTGCGGGGGCCTCGAGGTTCCGAAGGGCCTGGGCGCACGGCACGGCGCCGCACGGCTTGTAGCACCCCATGGAGGCTCCCATCGCCCGAGACATCCTCGAAGGACCCGAGCTCGCCATCGCTGGGTCGTCCACTTCCCATATGTGTTCTTCGGCTTCGTGCACTCATGTTTCCCACGATGTTCCTGGCTGCCTCTTGACGGTCCTCGCCGAGACAGAGTGCACACGCCCGAACGATGCCGAGCAAATTTTCCGAAACCGTGCGGCCACCCCGCATCCAGGGTCTAGGGGATCCCAAAAGGCGCCGATACCGCGACCCCCGTGGACCTCTCCCGGGCTCCGTGCTGACCAGGCTTTCGAGGCGAACCCAGCGAGGGCGACGCGGGGCCTCCCAGCAGGGCCCAAACAGCGGAGACCAAGGGAGGGGTAGCAGCATGGGGACGGTCGGACATAGGGCAGAAGCACGTCCTTCGAGCACACGAGACCCGCCGCCAGCCAAAACCCACAGAACGGCCGAGGGCACTCCCCCCCTAGGATGCACAGGAACACCCAAGCGAACACGAAGAACGGTGGGGCACCCTCCCCGCACCGACCTCGATCCTGTACCTCGGTCCGACCGAACCTACTCCTCCTCTGAGCATCGCCACTGACTGCCACACGCTGCGGTTGCCGCACCAGTTGGAGGACCGAAGCATCGAGGGCCAGAGGGCCCGGCCCCGGAGGCGCGTCACAGGCGGCCAGGTGCGAGCCCTGATCCTGCTGACACGTCGATTGGGGCCAGCGGGGGTCGGGAACACCAAACCTCCTCGCGCTGTGGAAAAATCACAGCGGCAGAATGTTCCCCATGTTGGCCCTCTGGGCCTTGTCGGGCAACGGGGGGCCATCAAAAAACTGCTCACAATGAAACAACCATGTTGGCGAGGGACCCATTCCTATGCAGTCGTGGATAGCGCAGTTGTGAGCTTTGTCTTCGATGGAGCTCCCTTTGTGGCCACGAAACGTGTGAGGAATTTACCGGGATGGGCGGGGCGGACGCATGCGAACGCAGCCAATGGGGTCTTCGGTGGAGTTCCCTATGGGGCCATGAGACGTGTGAGGGGTAGGCCGAAATGGGCGGGGCGGACGCTGCGAACGCAGCCTCTGGGGCTTTCGGTGGAGCTCCCTATGGGGCCGCGAAACGTGCGAGGGATATGCCGACATGGGCGGGGCGGACGCATGCGAACACCGCCGGTGGAGCATTGGGGGGCGCTTCCTACGGGGCCACGAAACGTGTGGGGGGTGAGCCGAAAACGATTGGGGCGGGCGCGTGCGAACGCAGCCACTGGGGCCTCCGGCGGGGTTCCCTTATGGGGCCACGGAACAACATGTGTTGCCGAGCGATACGGGACAGGCGCATGCGAACATCGCCGCTGGGGCCTTCGGTTGAACTCCCTATGGGGGCCACGAAACGTGCGAGGGGTGTGCCGAAATGGGTGCGGCGCGCGCATGCGGGCGCTGCCTTGTGGGCCTTCAGCGGAGCTCCCTATGCGGCCACGAAACGTCTGAAGGGTGTTCCGAAATTGGTGCGGCGGGCGCGTGCGGGCGCTGCCTTGTGGACCTTCAGCGGGGTTCCACATGGGGCCACGAAGCGTGAAAGGTGTGCCGACATGCGTGCGGCTCGCGCATGCGGGCGCTGCCTTTTGGGCCTTCGGTGGAGCTCCCTATAGGGCCACAAAACGTGTGAGAGGTGTGCCGAAATGAGTACGGCGGGCGCGTGCGGGCATTACCTTTCGGCCCTTCGGTGAAGCTCCTTGCCACGAAACGTGTGAGGGATGTGCCGAGATGGGTGCGGCGGGCGCATGCGGGCGCTGCCTCTTGGGAAATCGGTGGAGCTCCCTATGGGGCCACGAAGCGTGTGAGAGGTGTGCCGAAAAAAATGCGGTGGGCGCATGTAGGAGCTGCCTTGTCAGCCTTCGGTGGGGCCAAAACCGGTGTGGCGCGCGCATTCGGGCGCATGTGGGCGCGGCACTGCTTTTTGGGCCTTCGGTGGGGCTCAATATGGGGTATGGGGCCACGAAAAGTGTGAGAGGTGTGCAGGCATGGGTGCGGCGCGCGCATGCGGGCGCTGCCTTTTGGGCCTTCGGTGGAGCTCCCCTATGGGCCACGAAACGTGTGAGAGGTGTGCCGAAATGGGTGCGGCGCAAGCATGCGGGCGCTGCCATTTGGCGCTTCGGTGAGGCTCCCTATGGGGCCACGAGACGTGTGAAGGGTGTTCTGTCATTTGTGCGGCGGGCGCATGCGGGCGCTGCTTTGTGGGCCTTCAGCGGAGCTCCCTTTCCCTACGGGGCCACGAAACGTTTGAGATGTGTGCTGACATGCGTGCGGCGCGCGCATAAGTGCGCTGCCTCTTGGGCCTTCGGTGGAACTCCCTTTGGGGCCACGAAGCGTGTGAGAGGTGTGCCAGAATGGGTGCGGCGCGTGCATGCGGGCGCTGTCTTTTGGGCCTTGGGTCAAACTCTCCCTATGGGGCCGAGGGGTGTGCCGAAATGGGTGCGGCGCGCGCATGCGGGCGCTGCCTTTCGGGCCTCCAGTGGACCTCCTTATGGGGCCATGAAGCGTGTTAGGGGTGTGCCGAAATGATTGCCTGGTGCCATGCGAACGCAGCCATGATGATGATGAGGAGGAGGAGGTTGCTGATGATGGTGATGCTGATTATGATGGTGATGATGATGATGATGATGGTGATGATGAGGCGGACGAGAATGAGGATGAGGATGAGGATGAGGATGAGGATGGTGATAGTGATGAGGATGAGGATTTTGATGATGGTGATGATGCTAATGATGATGATGATGCTGATGATGATGGTGATGTTGTTGATGATGATTATGATGACGATGGTGATGATGATGATGATGATGATGATGATGATGATGATGATGATGATGATGGTGACGATGATGGTGGTGGTGAGTGTGATGCTCATGCTGATGCTAGTGCTGACGCTGCTGCTGCTGATGATGGTGATGGTGATGATGATGGTGATGATGATGGTGATGATGCTGATGATGCTGATAATGCTGATGGTGGTGGGAACGACGATCATGAAGATGATGATGATGATGATGATGATGATGATGACGACGATGACGACGGTGCTGATGATGATGGTGTTGATGATGATGGTGACGATGGCGATGGCGATGGCGATGATGATGATGATGAATTTGATGATGATGCTGATGATAGTGATGATGATGATGATGATGATGATGATGATGATGATGATGATGATGATGATGATGATGATGATGATGATGACTATGTTGGCGATGGTGATGGTGGCACTATAATGATGGTGATGATGCTAATAATGATGATGTTGATCATGCTGCTGCTGATGATGATGATGACGATGACGATGATGACGACGACGATGCTGATTATGATGATGCTGATGCTGATGCTCATGATGATGCTGATGATGATGATGATGATGAAGATAATGGAGATGAATCTGATAAGGACGTGTGGAGTGCGGAGGGCAGAGGCAGAAATAGGAGGGAAGAGGTGAGGAACGCGTGGCGCCGTTTCAAAACGAAGACACAACGCCACAGGATGGTTGGGAATCACGACGTGGGGTGTCGGGAACTGGCGAGCCAGGCACGGTCGAGGTGAACGCCCACTGGCGAACGCCCACTGCTCCAAATGGATGGGCTGAACCATGGAGGCCAGACCACAAGGAACCTTCCACAAGAAACCCAACCCTGAGACCATAGGACGTCCATTGATTTCTGTTGCGGGAAGGTCACGTTTTCCAAAGCAAAACCCTCGAAACCCAAGAAACTCAGGGGTCTCCACTGTATGGGGAGGGCTCACCTGTGGCAATCTCTGGCGGTCGCCGCGGCCGTTGCCGGCGAGACCGCCGCTGAGGATCGAGACTCGAGGCTCGAGGCTCGAGGATCGAGGGCCAGGGGCCACGGCCTCGCGGGTCAGCAGTCACAGACGCTAAGAGATCTTCCTACACAAGACGTTCAGGGGCACACTTGTCGTCGATGCTTCAATTAGAGGCCTCCCAGTGGGGTCGGAGTAGATGGGGTCGGAGGATCGCGCCGCATCGCCGATACATCGGCGATGCATCGGCGATGCATCAGCGATGCACCGACAATGCATCGTCGACGTCGGCGACGTCGACACGACGCAAAGCGGGCTCCACATCCAGCCGCACCGGCGATGCATCGCCGATGCGGAGCAATCCTCAGACCCCATCTACTCCGATCCCATCTAGAAGGCCTAGATCAATTTCCAGAGGAGTCCCAGGGCTTGTGGGGAGCCCGAGGTCCACTGGGGAGTAAGACATCTCCCGGGTCGACCTGCTGACAGGCCACAGCAGTGCGTGCAGTCGTGGTCGCTGCGGTGTTGTACTGATGCAGTCGTGCGGGGCGTAGGGCCGTCTTGTTTGATGTGCGTGGTGCAGTGGTCGACGTCGCCGTCGCCGCCGCCGATAGGATCGAAGGCCGAAGGATCGAGGGTCGATGATCCACGTCGCCGCTGCCGCCGCTGGCAACTATTCAAGAACAGGGGTCGACAGGTCCAGGGGCCCGCGTCACGACGGGATCGCGTCGTCGGATGAACAAGTCGTCGTCGTCGTCGTCGCCACTGCAGCCGAGGGCCGAGGCCCAGGGATGGAGGATGCAAACGTGTGCAAGTTTCCGGCTTTTCTCTTGCCCCTGCGGGCCTTCTGAGGATTTCTGAAGACCTCCCGCGCTCCTCGGCAGAAGCCCCGGCGACGTCGCGGTCGCGGTCGCGGTCGTCGTCGCCAAGCCAGAGGACGCGCTTGTCCCTGGCGGCGTCGGCAGCGCCAGCATGCTGACTCAGCAACTGCGCTCAGAAGAGTTGCGCGCTAGCATCGCCGCTACGCCGTCGCCCAAATGAAGGGACGTCTGGCCGCTGCTAGCCTATCGTCCGCGATCGTTTCGCGATCGCCTTCGATTGCAGGGAGGCCGAGCGAACGAGGGCCTCATGCAGAGCAGGAGGTCGGTCGAGATCAACGGGGTAACAAAAAGACAACGCCCCACTCTGACAATGGCCCGGCCTGCCGTCGAACACCCTGGCACAGAAGCCGGACCGTCCGTAGAATCGCCCGTCTCCACCACATCGATCCCGCTGGCGTGACAGACCGACGCCGTGCACTGCAGCCGGGGCTGGACGCGGGGCTGGCTGCTTGGACCACCCAACGTGCGATGCGTCCGAGCTGCAATGCCAACGTCCTGGTGCACAGCCGCCTCCGTGACAGGCGGGACGGCGGCGGCCCCCCCGGTCGCTGCGCGATCAGAGACGCCACCGGCAGCACGTCGCTGTCGCGCGGAGGAGCAGGGCGAGGAGGGCGAGGCGAGGATGGGAGACCGTGCTGGTCTACGGTGCGTTCCGTGACCCGGCGGTCGACGAGGCACCCGAGGGAAGTGCCCCGGCCTTGTGCCCTGCTCGCCATGGCTCGGGAGCGTCCGTTCTCCGTGCCTGTGTTCGGCGTCGTGCACGGGGCTGTCTCGCGGGAGGGTGCCGTGTGCTGACCGGTGGTCCTCGCCGAACAGAGCAGTGCACACGCCCGAGCGATGCCAGGACTGTCCTGGGAACGCAGAGGCGGCCGCGGCCGGGGCAGCTCGCGCCGCACCTGGGAGAGGAGAGGGCAAAAAAAACGAGGGCGAGGACGCCATGGGGCGGCGCGGCGGCGACGCACTCCGGTGAGGCCCCACACCTCTCCTGGGGGCGCCTTGCGACCAGGACCTCGAGGCGGATCCAGCCGCGGCGATGAGGGGCGCCGCTGCGATGGGCCAGAAAGCAGACGACGCTGCACCACCTGCAGCCCCACGGGGCTCGGCGTATTCCAGGGACTCTGGCGTGGGTTCTGGCGCGGGGTACGCTACGGCCTTCGACGGGCCATCGCGTCACATGGAGAGCCGCAGTCGGCGGGGTGGTGTCGCTTGTGTCTTGGCCGATACTACGGGCGCCCGCGGAGGACCCAAGGGAGCCCCCAAACTCCCAGAGGCCGCGACCATCTGGCCTCGGTCCTCCCCCTTTCGAGCGCGGGGCAACGGGAGGGGGGCCCGGGAGGCGCCCATCGAAGGCCCCGACGGGACCCGGAAGCCCCGAAGAGTGTCCAGCTTCGGTCCCCCACCCACGATCTCCGGATCTCTCAGTCCTCCTCGGCAGCGGTAGCCCCTGAGGTGCGACGCTACGGAACAATGCAGCATCGTATATCCGCCACCGCCCCTGCACGGCGTGGGCGTGTCAGGATGCACGTGTGGTGCACGGGGAGGGTTTGACATGCTTTCCAGGCCCCCCCCCTCGGCCAGCGCGTGGCTCTGAAATCGCCCCCTGTGAAATTGCTTTCCGTCGCTCCTTTCGGTCTCCAAACGAGATGGTCTCCAAGACGGCTTCCAAGGCAGCCAAGATGACACCAAGACGGCCCAAGGTGGCCCAAGACAGCTCAAGAGGCTCCCAAGACGGCCCAGAGAGCCCGAGAGAGCAACAATACATTCCTTAGGTTTCGAAGGATCTTGATGTTCTTGCCTGTTTGGGCTTCCGACCGCCCAAGACGGCCTAGGCCTCCAAGATAGTTCCAAGACAGCTCATGAGACCCCAAGAGCGCCCCGAGTCAGCCCAAGAGGACACCGAGATCGCCCAAGAGCCTCCCAAGAGAGCCCAAAGATGGCCCTAAAGCGCCCCCAGAAGGCACCAAGACGGCCGAGAGAGGCCCCCGAGACGGCCTCCATCAAACAGGCCAATCGTATCCCTAAGACGGCCCGAGAGGCCCAAAGAAGCCCCCAGTAGGCCCCAGGAGGCCCCCAAGAGGCCCTTCAGGAGGCCCCCAGGAGGCACAAAGAGGGTCCGAAAAAGCTTTCTCCTCCTCCTCCTCCTCCTCCTCCTCCTCCTCCTCCTCCTCCTCCTCCTCCTCCTCCTCCTCCTCCTCCCCCTCCCCATCCTCCTCTTCCTCCACATCCTCCTCCTCCTCCTCCTCCGCCTCCTCCTCCTCCTCCTCCTCCTCCTCCTCCTCCCCCTCCTCCTCCTCATCCTCCTCCTTCTCCTCCTCCTCTTCCTCATCCTCATCCTCCGCATCCTCCTCCTCGTCCTCCTCCTCCCTACCGCGCGGACCAAGACGACGTCAAGATCACGACCCTCCCCAGTTCAAACCATTCGCTGGACTGCCGCGGGGTGTGAACTGGACCTCCTTCCTGGCGCGGGGACGAAGGCGAAATCGAATTCACGACCCGTCCTTCTCATATCACTTGTCAGGACTGCTCAGTCTTCTTCCTGCAACGCTGTTGCACAGGCACGATGGCGGGGTTTGCCGCAGGCAGCTGGATAATCACGCGCGGAGCCCTGGACACCATCTTTCTGCTATATTTTGCGAGCCAGATCGGTCCGTGAGGCTCCGGGGGCCCGAAACGGGACAAAGCGCCCGTGGAGAACAAAATTGCGACGCCAGGCTCTCAGGGACCACGGCCGACGGCGACGACGACGACGACGACGACGACGACGACGACGACGACGACGACGACCACGGCGGCAAGGACGCCCCAGGCCTGGCGCAGACCTGGCCTGAAGTGGGAGCCTGCCCGGGAGCTGCTGCGGCGATGGCCCGGCCGGCTTGGCTTGGGTGTCTCCCACCCCGGCGCATTCCTCTCCTCCTCCTCCTCCTCGTCGTCCTCCTCCTCCTCCTCGTCCTCCTCCTCCTCCTCGTCCTCCTCCTCCTCGTCCTCCTCGTCCTCGTCCTCGTCCTCCTCCTCCTCCTCCTCCTCCTCCTCCCTCCTCCCTCCTCCCTCCTCCCTCCTCCCTCCTCCCTCCTCCCTCGGAACATTCCACCCCTTAAGGAAGCGTATCGTCTCAAGTCCTCCCTCCTCCCTCCTCATCCTCCTCCTCCCTCTTCCTCCACATCCTCCGCCTCCTCCTGCTCCTCCCTGATCCCTCCATTTTTTGTGCCTAAACTCCTCCTCCTCCTCCTCCTCCTCGGTCGGTCGGTCGGTCGGAGCTAAAGGCCGGTTCGAGTCGAAGCCTCTCCTAGGTGTGGGGAACAGGGCAAGGGAAAAAAGGACAGAGCGCTCCTAAGGAGCAGGGCTGCAGGGCACGTGCGGTTAGACATCAGGGGTCAAGTCCAACACGGAGGCCAACAGCAAAAAAGGGAGCGGGGGCCGTTACAATGCAGGGAACGGGTCCAAGGGCTTCCAGTACTCGAATCCACCCCCGAGCACATTCTCCACTTCGCCCCCATCACTGCACAGAAACACTTTCCTCCACTCATGTGTGAAAGCGGACGCAAGCACATCATAGAACCCCGAATGCAACTCACACTGCCAGTTGGGCGCTCTCCCGTCAAGCCCCATGTGGCAGTGCCCGTCTCTGCAAACACCCCAGCCTTTCTCCCTCAGCTCCCCTTCAAGAGTGTCTAAGGACACACTCCACACAGTAATCGGTTCCCATCTTGTGTGCTGTCCAAACGTGCAACTATCGAGAACGTGCGAGGTCATCACTTTCTTTTTTCCCGCCAGAGCAACCTCGGGCACATCCTGAATTTTACAGCCATGTCCAACTTCGCGCTGTACAATCGAAGTCCACGGAACCTTGTGCAAGGCGGCCGCACAAGCGAGCTCGAGACAGTCTCTCAAGTATTTATTCTCAGACTTGACGCAACTTCGCTCTCTGTCGTTCAAATTGGGTCGGCCCCAGGCGCACTCCCGATTCCTAGGAGGTTTCACACGGGCACCATGGGGACCTCTAAGACCAGGCAAAGCAAAAAACACCTCCACACAATTTCCCTTCCCCCATCAGATCCGTCCAAGTCTTTACATATTGCTCAAGCCACTCCACGTGAGACACATGGATGAACTGAACATGCTCACTCAAAGTCGAGCTCTTGGCCTCGATATGGTACTGAAAATCCTCCACCTTCCTCTCTCCTGAGCTGACAATGAGAAAAAAAGGCTGAAGCATGGCGTTGGAGGGTCTTCCAACGGGCGCTTGCACAGCGGGCCTGGCGAGCAGACACACAGCAGACACAGCGTCCTCCTCCTCCTCCTCCTCCTCCTCCTCCCTCCTCCCTCCTCCCTCCTCCCTCCTCCCTCTGAACCTTCCACCCTTTAAGGAAGCGTATTGTCTCAAGTCCTCCCTCCTCCCTCCTCATCCTCCTCCCTCTTCCTCCACATCCTCCGCCTCCTCCTGCTCCTCCCTGATCCCTCCATTTCTTGTGCCTATAAACAACACCTCCCTGTCGCACCCCGTAGCCGGTCAGAAGAGCGGCTGGGGCTCTCGCCTTAGCGCCGAGCGAATTCGTTGCAAACTGATGCAAGAGTTTCACGGATTCTAATGTTTAGCGTACCAGAAACTGTGTTTTGGAAAATTACACATGTTCGGGGCGCACCAGGTGCGCCGATTCGCGGCGTTGACATCCACAAAGGGTGTTCTGTCACGATTCAGGATCGTCAAGACGCAACAGTAAGGTTGATTCGTGGCGTTGGAGTCCCAAGAACGGTGTTTTGGCACTGTTTTGGCACGTTTCCAGATTTTCAAACGGTTGTCTCTCAACGGGACACTTCCCTGAGTGAAAATAAGTCCTACTGGGGGCCTATGGAGAGGGATCTTGGAGGGAAGCTTTATTCGAACATCGTCAATGAGTCTTGGGTTTGCACTGGTCGTCCTCCTCCTCCTCCTCCTCCTCCTACTCCTCCTCCTCCTACTCGTCCTCCTCCTTCACCTCCTCCCTCTTCCTCCCACTTCCTCCTCGTCCTCCCCCTCCTCCTCCTCCTCATCCTGCCCCGACTTCCTCGCGGACTGAGAAAAAGAACGATGTGGGCATTCGACCAAGGACCCCCTGCTACCCACCGGCCCTTGGCGGTCTTCGGCGGTCCTCGGCGGGTTTCTGGCGGTCTTCGGCGATCTTCGGCGGTCTTCGGCCGGTCCTCGGCCGTCTTCTAACGGTTTTCGGCGGCCTTCCCTTCTGATGGACTTCGACGGTCTTCGGCGACTTCCAGCGGTCGTCGGCGTGAAAGCTGGATAGTTGCATTTATCGAACGCAAAGGCTCTATGATCGAATACGTACGACGCAAGTTGTTTCGACATCTTAGCTGTGAAACACACTTTTCGACATCTTAGCAGTTGCAAATTCCAGGGGTGGCTTGGAACTTGCAATTCCTTAGCCCCTGGGAGGCCCGCATCGTGCCCCTGGGGCCATCAATTGGCGGCGCGCACGCGGGGGTGGAGGGGGGGGAAAGCTTCTTAGAAGCAGGGTGCTCCTACGAAGCAATTCCCCCTCCTCCCACTTGCCTCTGCGCGTGGCTGAATCAAGGAACGGCTCGGGACGAACAGCCAGACCCGGGAGGGTGTCCGGACCTTCCCGGGGGCCCGCGAATGACGGCGCCGTGGGATACGTGCAAGCTCGCGGGCGCATCCTTCGAAGCAAATAAGGACATACACGTCTGTAGCGTTTTACTGTTATTATTAATATTATTAGTATTATCATTATTATTCTTCTTCTTTTTCTTATTATTCTTCTTCTTGTCAGCGAGGGCGTCACAAACAGACTGCGGATCTGATCGTCACGGTGCGCACCGCGGGAAACTGGAGCGCGACACGAGCGTCTATGACAACAGAAAGGTACCCTGCCGCATGCAGCAGACACATACGATGAAAAACCTTGCCATCATAAATCTTGAGCACATTCTTCGTCGGCCTCTGAGGGGCTCAAGGTGGCCGAGAGCGTCTGTGGGCCCCCCGGGCCACGGGGGGATATGACACTTCTTTGGGTAACATGCTGGCAGGTCGGCTTCTTACTGGACGTGCCGCGTGACGTGCCCGCTGTAAGCACTGGCCGGCGCCCCGCCGCATTACAGAAAACAACGCGACGCTGGCTTAGAAGACCGCAACTCTGGGCCGAGAACCAGCGTCGCCTCTCGCTCACGCCTAGGCGCATCCGCCCACCGTCCGGCCCTGGAGCCCTCACTGACCGAGCCGGCTTCGAGGCGGGCCGGCAGGAAGAGGGGGCCGGAGGCTCCAATACCGCGGCTGTGGTCCGCTGCTGTCGCTGTTGCCGCGACGTCGGGGGAGCGGGCCTCAGAGTCCTGGGCGCGCCGGGTGCTCCTTATGCGCCCTATGGGTGTCCTCCACGCTCGGGCCTCCGGGAGGCCTCCGCTGACCTCCCCCGATTGGTGCGGCGCCACGAAGACCCTGCGACAGCGCAGCGAAAGCTCGACAGGAGCCCCAGGCCCCACCTATTGCAGCATCTTTCGGGCCAGATCCCTCCGTTAGGAGCCAGAAAAAAAAACATACAAAGGAATTTCACACAAAGGGTTTTGGCACCACCAACGGTGCAACGCATGTGCACATGTGCCACTGGATCCCCAGCGATCCGAACCAGGGTTGATGCACGGCCGTGCTCTAGGATGCAGTTGACATGTATGGTGCGGCAAGGCTGTCGGCGGCGACGAGATCCCAAGATCCGCTACCACCAAACATTCCATGGTGGTTTGGCACAGCCAAACCGCCGTGCAACGTCAGTGTGTTCATCCGTTGACAGCAGCACGCGTCGCGGCAGCAGAACGCAGTAACGCGCGCGGGCACGCAGGGCCGGCGATGTGGCCAGCGCCACTTCGGCAGAAGAGCCGAAATCCGCGTGGAATCGTTTTGGGCGCGGTATCCGGCGCAGCTGTATCGCACTGCCAGGCGCCGCGGCCTTGTGATTGTAGCGCCACGCCACGCGCGCTCCTCGAGGCGGGAAAGCAAACTCTACACAAAAGAATCGCGCGTGCTCTTGTGGGGGCGGCGAAAATGATCGTACACAAAGGAAATTACGTTGTGTGCCCCCCGCGTTGGCAGTGAGACCAGACCGTACACAAAGGAATTACACGAGACTTCGTGGCACACAAAGGAATTACAGCAACGCCCTTTGGGTTGCGCTCTTCGCGCGGGGTGACAGCTCCGAACTGGAAAGGAAGGGGGGGGCGAGACAAGACAAAGCAGGGGAAGAGGAAAAAGAAGAAGAGGGCGAGAAAGAAGCGAAGGAAGCAACGGAAGGAAGCCAAGATGCGCGCAAGCGCGACTAACACTGCGCGCCGAGACAGCTGTTCGTTCGTTCGGTTGGCCGCGCGGCGGATGAATCGAAAAATATTTGTTTGCTGCATATCGAAGGGACTTCTTGGGAATGAGACTCGCGCTCTCTTCCCAAACACCCTTTCCCACACCCCGTTGCGAGCGAGCGACGATTTGTTCTGGCCCGCGGGCAGAGGACTGCCAGTTGCTGGTGAGCGGCCTTTACACCCGTCACGCGTTCCGAACATATGCGACCAGCTGGACGCACTGGCCACGCAAACCGCCAGCTCCAAACACCGACGCCACCCCGATCCCCGCATCCGTGCCAGGCACCCTCTCAACGACGCGCCCTTCCGGCGTAAAACCAATAAAACCCTTTGTGTTTATGTGTTTTTTCCTGTTCTGATCCATGAAGGTCCCGGGGCCCGAAGCGATGCCGAATCGCCCGTTGGGAGACGCTGCGACGCCAGGGTCCAAGGGCCCATGGACAACCCGGGCTCAGACCTCCGGAAGGCCTCCTCCGGATGGCCACGCATTCGCGGCCCAGCCTCCGGGAAAGGCCCCGGGTTGGCGGCGGCGGGGTCAGCTGCAGAGGTCGATCTTGCAAGAGCGGCGTCCAGCGCCCCAGGACAGCATACGCAACTGAGCAGCGCCTCTCGAAGGAGGGCCTCGATGGGGCTGTTGGGGACGGGCAGGAAGCAAGGTGATCCTAGATCCGAGCCAATGTCAGGGGCCCCAGAGTCCGACTCCTCAATGCACGGCGACGAAGCGCTGGTAGACTCCTCCCCGAACCGTCACCCTGGTGACACCCGCTTCGACAAGGCCAGAGGAATCCAAAACTTGCTCGGGGGGCCGAGGCAACCGGTGAATTCAACTCATAAGCTCCAGGACCAAAAACAACACCATGGGCCCGAAGGGACTCGATAGGGAGGGGGAGGAGGAGGGAGGAGGAAGGCACTCGATAGGGAGGAGGAGGAGGAGGAGGAGGAGGAGGAGGAGGAGGAGGAGCGAGCCCAGAAGGTCTGTTGCGACTCCGCAGGAGATCTTCTGCCCGCCACTAAGTGGGCGAACGAGCGAAGGCGACAGCCCCAAGTACAAACGCCTCAGCGAAGATGGAGCACAGTCGAGGTTGATTGGAGAGGACACAAGACCCTTCCGAGGGCCACATGGCCATAGTCATGCAAACGGTATGGGTCGCGAACACACACACACAGCACCCATGGGTACCCTTGATTTGGCAGGGTCGACCTGCTAATCGACCTTGGCTGCACGGGAAGGGAGAGAACACACGTCGAGAAGGAATGCGACTATATATATATATATATATATATATATATATACATATATACACACATCCCTCTTCCTATATTTTTACAAGCCCAAACAAAAAATTGACCCCTGGGATCTGGGGTTCTCGGGCTCCCTTGGACGTCCTTGGAAAAAAAGGTCACCCGGCTTTCCGGGTCTCCACAAACGCCTTGCCAGCAGACCCAGAGCGATCCGAGGGGTCATCTGAAAGGCTCAAGGGAGGCCCCAGACAGCACAAGAGCGCTCCCAGAGGGACTCAAATTGCGTCAGGACGGCCAACAAAACCCCCAAGGCACCCCAAAAAGCTTTCCAGGGGCCTTGAAACCACAAAAATCGCCCCATTCCCTTCGTAAAACTTACAAGTTTAGCATATTCGCCTTTCGGATTTCATCAGCTCTCAAGACGGTTTCAAAGCCCCCGAGATCGCCTCAAGACGCCCAAAAAAGGCCCCCTAGAAAGCTTCAAGACGGCCGAGCCGGGCCCCACGATCGCCCACGAGAGCCCCAAGACAGCCCATAATGGAACCAAAAGGCCCCCCAAGGGCTCCCAGCACAGACCCAAAAGGGCCATGGGAGGTCCCCGGAAGTGCCCAAGATGGGTCCAAAGGGGGCTCCAGCGGGCCCAAGCTCCCCAAGACGGCCCAAGAAGCACGCGAGCCCCAAGACAGCCCATAATGGAACCAAGAGGCCCCCCAAGGGCTCACAGCACAGACCCAAAAGGGCCATGGGAGGTCCCCGGAAGTGCCCAAGATGGGTCCACAAAGGGCTCCAGCGGGCCCAAGCTCCCCAAGACGGCCCAAAAGGCCCCAGGACGGCCCATGAAGGCGCCAAAACGGCCCACGAGGGCCCCGAAAACACCCCCACGATGTTTCCGAATGCCAACATTCATCCATTTTGCTCCCATGACATTTCACATTGTGACCCAGTCGTTGAGGGTCTCGTGGCATGCAGCGAAGATGCCCTAGGATGCCCCGTACGAGTTGCATATGCATGTTCATACTCCTCTACACATAAAAATATATGTACATATGTACGCTGTATACACATACAATATTGTAAGTATATTGTATACACCTAGACATGTATGCGGAACGTGCATGCACGTGCGCGTGTATACATGCATGCGCGCATGTACGCACACACGCATCCCGCTTGCGCGCAGAACTCAAAAGACCAAGGTGCATGGCGCGCAGCGCCAATGCAGTCTTGTGTGTATATATATATATATGTATTTAAAGGGGCCCTGGGACACACAACACACATAAAACTATTCCGCATATTTTCCCAGGTGACTGGGTTTCTGTCTTCCCCCCACTGCCCATATGTTCTATAATTTTCTATGGAATCGGCGACTAATTGGGTCTGTGTGTTTCTTCCCCTCCTGAACACATATACAGATATACACATATATATATATATTATGAGACCTTGCCCAACAGAGCCAGCAGATTTAAATCCGCCGATCTGGCGTGTGAGCTACAAGGAGCCTTACCAAGAGCCTCAGCTCTAAGCCTGAACAAGAGCTTCAACTCTGCTTGGGGGGGTCGCCGAGGTGGCTCTGCCGGGAAGGGGGGAGGGGGGGTCCTCCATCTGGCGTTTTCGTCATGGTTTGCGCATCCCCAAAATATTTCGGGGGGTACCAAAGACCCCCGCCCAGAACTCTCCCCTCGGAGCCCTCCCCGGACCCCCCCGGGGAAGGGGGTGAGGGGGGGGGGCGGTCCCCCATCTGGCGTTTTCTTAATGATTTGCGCATCCCCAAAATGTTTCAGGGGCTTCCAGGGACCTCCCTCAGATCAAGCCGCTACCGCCCCCAGGACCCTCCCCTCGGAACCCTCCCCGGACCCCCCCCCCCGGGACCGCTCCAGGCACCCCCCCAGAGGGCACGTCAGCTCCAAAAAGCGTCCCCGAAGACTCCAAGAGCGCCCTCCCTCCCAAACAGCGTCCCCGACGACTCCGAGATCACCGAATCCAGAGCCCCCCAGATCGGCGGCATTGGCCGGAGGCCGTTACACTATCGGCAGTCCCGCGTCGCGCAGTCCTGTGCAGAGAGCTGATACGTCGTGCCACCGCAGCAAAAGTAGATCAATCAGTCGACGTCCGGCTCAGGGGACACCATCTCATCGACGCCCGTCGCAGCGGCAATGTCCAGGAGGAGGAGGTGGAGGAAAGGAGGAGGATGATGATGATGAGGAGGAGGAGGAGGAGGAGGAGGTGGAGGTGGAAGAGGAGGAGGAGGAGGAGCGAACGTAGCTGGGACGAGAAGGAGGAGGAGGAGGAGGAGGAGGAGGAGGGGAGGAGGAGGAGGGGGAGGAGGGGGAGTAGGAGGATGAGGAGAAGGAGAACGGGAGGAGATGGGAAGAGGGAAGAGGGAAGAGGAGGAGGAGGAGGAGGAGGAGGAGGAGGAGGAGGAGGAGGAGGAGGACGACGACTACGACCAGGCGAAGCCCGGCCCCCTCCGCGGTGCTCCGGCGGGCCGCCCTGCGGCTCCGGGCCGCTGGCGCGGGAGTGCCGCTCGCTGTCGCCTGGCGGCCGCGCTCGGTTTCTGAAAGGCGGCCTCTGCCATTGCCCGCCGCGCGTCGACGTCGAAGCCGTCGTCGGCATCTACCTGGGCTTTCTGGGGGACGTTTCCAAAGGCTTGGTTTTCTCGTCCTGGCTGGTTCGTCTGCGTCCTGGGAGCTCTTCGTCGGCACGGCTGGACGCGAAGTGGAAGCGGGGGCGGTGCCCAGGGGACACACCACGGACGGGGTCGCCACTGCCTCGAGGAAGCGCCCCGTCCGCACGGAGGCGCGCCCCCCAAAGAACACTTCCAGAGCCTCCCCAGACGACCCCCGAGCCTCCCAGCACCTCTTCGACTTCCAGGAGGAGCTAAGGACCCCCTCTGGTGGTGACCCCCTTGGCACTGCCCGACGAAACATGGCCATGATGCGTCCCAGGAAGGGTCCAGGGCCAGTTCTGGACCGATGATTTGGCCAGGGGGGCGGCAATCGACGACCAAGGCTTCCGACTTCGAGTGCCTGGATCCTGGCATTGATCCCTCAAGCTCAGCCTCCGGCAGATGCTTTCGGAGTTCGAAGCCATGAAGACATAAACCATCTGGGACGAGCCAGGGAAGGGGTCGGGAGGCCCGGAGCCCACTACTTGGTACAAAAACGCGGTCTTGATTTGCAGCTGCCCGTGCTGCTGCTTCTTTGGATGATGCTGCTGGTCGTCGTCGTCGTCGTCGTCGTCGTCGTCGTCGTTGTCGGCGTCGTCGTCATCGTCGTCGTCCTCATGTTTACCGTTACGTAGGGGGACTTGAGCAACTAGACTGTAGCGTTCTGGTGGCAGAAAAGGGCTTAAGCTGCCTGACTGCAGACTTACCGGTGCAGGAGGTGCAAAGAGAAGCGGAAGAGTACAGGGCCGACGAAGGCAAAGAGTATCAAAACTGCAGGCGTCGGCAAGGAAGTCCCCAGCCCCCTCCTCCTCCTCCCCCTCCTCCGGCTCGTCCTTGCCGCCCTCACCCTCCTAAGTCACCTGTGCCTCCCGGCCGACCATGGGGACCTTGATGACATCGGCCTCGAGCTTCGAGGCTCGAGGATCGGGGGCTCGAGAAACAACATCTCCATCTCGTCATCATCAGCATGATCCTCATCAGTACCATCATCATCATCATCATCATCATCATCATCATCATCATCATCATCATCATCATCATCATCATCATCATCATCATCATCATCATCATCGTCACCACCACCACCACCAAGATCATCATCCTCAGCATCATCATCATCATAGCCATCATCAGCAGCAGCAACATCTTCACAATGAGCACACTCATCTTCATCGTCATCACCATGAGCCTCATCAGCTTTGTCATTACCCCTACCATGATCATGTTGATGACGATCACCATCACCAACAACAGCAAAAGCAAACAAACAACAACCAGCAACAATCATATTAAGGCTGTTCGCTCTTCTCTGCTCGCGTGCAATTCAACACGTGTGTGCCAAACCCTCGAGACCCGCCCTCTTTGTCTTCGATAATACCCCTTGGGGGTATATGCGTCTTACTTGCAATGCGTATTTCGCGCAGCTCCTAAGGCAGGGGGAGAGAAGACGGATGGAAGGAATGGACAAAGGGAGAGGGAGGACGATGGAACACAAAAGAGAGAGAGAGAGAGAGAGAAAGTAGCAGGAGGAGGGCTAGAAACAGAAAACACGTGGCAGAACCAGACAGGAAGATCGGGTGGGTAGACCCTGACAGGCGAGTCGGGAAGGCGTGCCCAGGCGGCCAGGTCGAGGAGCCGGGTTGCTGAAGCGTGCGTCCTGCATGAATCGCGAGGGAAGTCTCGAGCGACAGCGCGAGTCCCAAATAAATCGTAAGGACATAAAACTCCACAGCGGGAGCATGTTTCTTGAGTGTCGAGAGCGCGGCGTTAGAATGAAGGGAGGAATGTGCCCCCGCGGGGGGGGGGGACAACCATACTCATTCTTCAATGCTGCAAGTTAAAGAACAACAGCAACAACAATAACAACAGCAACAGTAACACCAACAGCAGCAATACATGTAAGACTGTTCGCTCCTCTCTGATCACGTGCCAATCAATACGTATATCCCGAACCCTCGGTACCGGCCGTCGTCGTCTTCGATCGTCCCCCCTTGGGGGTATAGCTTCCTTACCTGCCACGCGCATTTAGTACAGCCCCTAAAACAAGGGAAGAGAGGACGGGTGGAAGGGGGAGGGAGAATAATGGAGCACGAGAGCAATTAGCAGGACGGCGGCAAGGAGCAGAAAACAAGTGGTAGAACCAGACGGGCAGATCGGGTGGGCAGACCCATAGCGGGCAGGTCGGGAAGGCGGGCCCAGTTGCTGAAGCGTGGGTCCTGGATGAATCGCGAGGACGTCTCAAGCGATAGCGTGATACCCAAGTAAATCGTTAGAAAAGCCAAAGCGAGAGCGTGATTCCTGAGCGCCGAGGGCGCCTCGTCTGAATACATTGCGAGGAAGTCCCACGCGAGAGCGCGATGCGTACATGAACTGTGAGGAAGTCCCGCACGAGAGCGCGATGTGGGAATACATTGTGAGGAAATATCAGGCGGGAGCCGCTGTTGTTGTAAACCGGGGGCCAGGGGCCAAGTTTGAGCCCCATGACTTTCCCGTATAAAAAAACAGGGTGCGAGCCCCAGGGGAAACACTTCAATTGAAAAATACAATAGTAACCGGAGGGAGCAATCACCAAAACTTATTTCTGTAGTGGGAGTTCAACAACAACGACCACAACAACAATAATCATTTTACCCGCATGCACGATGTTCCCGCACGAAGTATGCGAGCATCATGATAACCATCCGCATCATATGGGGATTATTGTTCTATAGCGGGGTCCGTTTTTCCCATTCCCAGATCTCCCGCCCAATGAGGTCTTGCAAACACCTCCTCCGAGGAATTTAAACATATCCCGCCTCGAACACGGATGCCCACGCCTTGCTACGCCGATGCGAGACCGCCAGTGGAGCCCCAGCCAAAGGTAAAGCACAAGAAAGTATCGAGCAACAGGATTGCATTGGTGGTAATGGGGGCTGTCGGCGGCGAGGCAAGGACCTAGCCCTGAATAGCAAGGGAGGAAGTCTCGAGTCTCGGGCAGGGCCGCTGTTGTTGCTGGGAGCGGCGCGCTAGTGCAGCAAAAAACAAAACGAAGTCTCGAGCGGGAACGCTGGTTTTGTTGGGACGGCGGTTGTCGGCGGCGAAGAGGAACACCGCCTGGGGTAAGAAGAGAGGAGGTCTCGAGCGGGAGCCGTGGTTTTGTCGGGACGGGGGCTGTCGGCGGCGAGGAACAGCACCGTCCTGAGGAACGAAGGAGAGAGCCTCGAGCGGGAGCGTTGTTCTTGCTGGGAGCGGCGCCAATTCAAACGAGAGTAGTGCGCCAGTCCAGCGTAAAACGGGAGGAAGTCTCTGGCGGGAGCGCTGGTTTTGTCGGGACCGCGGTTTTCGGCGGCGAGGAGGGGCACCGCCTTGAGTAAAAAATGACAGGAGTCTCGAGCGGGAGCGTTGCTGTTGCCGGGGGCGGCGCCGATGAGAGAAAGACTGGTGCGCCAGAACAAGATAACACGGGAGGACGTCTCGAGCGGTAGCGCTGGTTTTGTTGGAACGGTGACTTTTCGGCGGCGAGCAAGAGCACCAGACCTGAGCAAAAAAGGAGGAAGTCTCGAGCGGGAGCGTTGTTGTTGGGGGGCTGGTTTTGGCGCCACCCCAAACCGCTCGAGCGTGAGCCTCAGTTTCAATAAAAGTGTAGCCAGCGCCGAGGCGAGAGTGCCAAAGCGCCTGGGGGGTCCAACAGTAATAATTGTTGAGTGCTTGACATTCAACACCACCAACAACAAACAAATACCAGCCTCACCACTGCCAAACAACATCCAGAAACAGCTGGCAGAGGGAGGAGCAGGAGACAAAGGAGGAGGGGGAGGAGGAGCAGGAGGAGGAGGAGGGGGAGGAGGAGGAGGAGGAGGAGGATGAGGAGGGAGGAGGAGGAAGTAGGACGAGGGGAGCAGCAGGAGACGGAGGAGGAGGAAGGGGGGAGAAAGAAGGAGGGTGGAAGAGGTCGAGATTCGAGGATCCTCCTTATCCCGTTTCCCTCCTGCCGCCTCCCTCTTCTATCCTCCTGTTCTTGCTCCAGCTCCTGCTCCTGCTCCTCCTGCTCCTCCTCCTCCCCTCCCTCCTCGACTCCATCCTTCCTCTTGTTTCTTTGTTACAGTCCTAGAAGTCCCAGGCTTCAATCGTTCCTACACCCTGTTACAAGAAGGGCAGCAGCCTCCCGGCAAGCCTCATCTAATGCTGTTGTTTCTGCGCCGAAGACTGTCAGGGGTAATTCTACAAGGTGCCATGTGCAATCCACGGCTCATACAAGTACTCGCCGTCATCGTCCTCGATATCTCGTTTACCTTGAAGCCCGCTGGTGAAAGACGCTCCCGCGCAGTCTCGTTCATGAACCCCTCCTACCCCTCCTTCTGTCTGGATGATGAGGTTGGCATCGCCTGTGTATTGAATAGTAGCAGATACCCTTGTCCATGTGCGCCCTTGTACATCTCTCCTCCCTCCTCCCTCCTCGTCCTCCTTGTCCATCTCTCACCCCTTTCCCTCCTCCCTCCGCCCTCCTCTCTCCACTCTCCTCCCTCTTTCCTCCTCCCTCCATCCTTGCTTACCCCTCCGCCTCTTCCTCCTCATCCTCCTTCCTCCTCCTCCTCCGCCATCCTCCCTCCTCCCTCCTCCCTCCTCCTCTTCCTCCTCCTCCTCTTCCTCATCCTCCTCCTGCTCCCCCCTCCTCCCTCCATCCTCCTCCCTGCCCCCTCTTCCCTTCTATCTCCAACCTCCGACCGACAACGTCCAACCTCCTCCTCCTCCTCATCCGCCTCCGCCTGCCTCCTCCGCCGCCTCCTCCTTGTCACCCTCCACCTCCACCTCCTCCTCCTCTTCCTCCTCCTCGTCCCTCTCCGCCTCCTCCTCCTCCTCCTCCTCCTCCTCCTCCTCCTCTTCCTCCTC